TGAAGAGTTTGCTTGTGCGTGCGAGCGCGTGTGGTCCAGCCTCGAGGTGTGGCAGGGGCACAGTTGGGTGTTGAGGGAAAGCGCCCCTCACCCCACACTTCCCAGCTGCCCCTCTCATCCCATTCACAGAACAGGGCTTTCAGGACCCTCCTGGTCTCCTCCTCCCGTCGCCATGGTTGCAGGAGGAGGTGGGGGATTGCAGGAGGAGACAGTTGGAGCCAGCCCCTTGCCCCTGCTGCTCCAGCTAACCCCCCACCTGCCCTTTCTCTCCTTTCCACAGGCTGGGCCCCATTCCTGCTGCTCTGGCGGGCAGGGGCCGGAAGATGGTGGCCAATGAGGAGGGGGAGTGGAGAGAACTTGAGCCAGGGCCTCCCCTCCCCCATTTCCTCCTCTGTTTCTACACCCGCTTCTGGAAGGAGCTGGGGGGGGGGGTGGCTCCTAGGCCCAAAGTGGGGGAAGGGTCCTGCTGGCTGTTGAATTGCTGGTCTCCCCTCAGGAATGAGTTGAGCACGTGAGCTCCAAGGGACTCAGTGTCCCAGCAGCCTCTCTCTTTGCTCCTTAAGGAAAGATCTGGGGACTCCTTGATGAAGAGTCTTCTTTGGCCACCGTGAAGCGTACTGGGTAGTCTTGTCTTTGTCCCTTTGCCCCATGTTGGCCTGGTCCAGTTCCCAACTGGCTTGCCCAACTCCAGGAGCAAAGAGGCCTGGCCACTGACCCAAGCGGGGCCTTGGTTTCCGTCCATTAGAACTGTGCAAACTGGGGCAGGGCCCCGTGTTTGCAGATTACAAGAACAAACTGCCTGGGAAGGCGGGAAAGAACCTCTCCTGCTTCCTGAGGGGGTGGGAGGAGGCTGGAGGGGGAAGCCCAGAGGAAGAGCTCCCGAATAGAATTCAGTCCTCCATTTTTACTGCTTGTTGCAGTGGAATTGGGGTGGGGGGACGGTTGTGGAATTGATCTCCCCACAGGGAGAAGTGGCCTCTCAGCCTCTGTCCCTTTGCTCAAAACTGTAGCTGGCTTCAGGTCAGTAGCTCTAGCTGGCATGTGACTCTAGAGCTGAGTCTTTGGGTTTCCCAGTGCACCTGGCTTTGAGTTTTCACCAGTCTCCATGGTCTAGGGATTAAGGATGATGGGCTAGTGGCATGAAAACGAGTGTTTAATTTCTGATACTAAGATTGGGGGTGGGCAGGAAACTTGACTTCTAATCTCACTGTCAGTGAAAGCTTACCCTGCACTCAAAGAGCCAAATCACTGGCCATTTTTATGCCACATTTATAGATTGCTTTGACGGCCTCAGAAGGGGGGCAGTTGCTTGCACCTCCAGATCTGAATTATAAGTCAGCTTTAGACTGGACACAGTAGAAGGTTCTGTGCTTCTGGGTGGCAAGGTTCTCTCTGAAAGGTTGTAGGCAAACCTGCAACCCCATGCTATTCTCACCTGGACTTTTTAGAAAACAAAAGGTATTTCCTTTGAGGGGCCATTTTCAAATTCAGGGGATCCCTCAGCTGCCTCTAGGGCCTGCAGCACCACCTCGAGAGGAAATGAGGAAGAGAGGAAGGCTGTGAGCCGAGTGGGCCAGGGACTGGGAGAAAGAAGGGTGAGGAGGCAGGGCCGGCATGTCTTTGCTGCTGGCCGGAGCTCTTTTCACATTGTGCTACTGTCTTCACCTATAACGAGCAGTGCAATGTTAAAAGGGCATCGGCCTTGTAGTACTGCCCGGTGCCGGCAGCCTCCTCAGCATCACTTTTTTCTCCCATCTGGACACCAGTCCATTGCCCTGGTGAAAATTTGGATTTATGAAGCCATTTACATATGCAGTTCATAGGCTAAACATTGCATACGTCACCGTGAACCTGTTATTTACTGGCAAGTAACATCCCCATTTGTTGGATTAAAAAAACAAAAACAGAGGACTGGAAAAGTTTAGGCTATTTGGCTAAGGCCGTTGAGCTCCTAACTTAGGACTCTGTCCTGAGCCCAACAGGAAGGTACCCATCAGTTTTTGTCAGGAGAGATTTGAACTCAGGGAGTGAAAGGTTTTGATGCCACCTGCTGGTTATGTGAGGGTATCCTCTGAAGTCTTCAGCTTTTAAGGATAACTCTGGGAGCAACTCCTTAAATGAAGGTCTGAGTTTTCAGGCGAAGCTTGGGATGGACAGTTGGTGGTGAAGTGTGGGAGAAAAGTTATGAGACCCACAGAAGACCTATGGGAACAAGAAGGAACACAGGCAAGGAAAGGGGCCAACAGAAAAGTACAGTTGTTTAGGCAAAGAGGCGTTAGTATCCCTAGTGTCCTCTGCCTTTTTATGTGTGGGAAGGGGGTCTCTTCACACATAGTTTTCAGCATGTCCTGCCAAGCACATCACCTGATGGTGATGACTCAAGGGTAAACCTGCTTTGGCATCTGAGATTTGGACATCACTTACGGTCTTAAAAGGTTAATTTCTTAAGCCAGACCCAGAATCTTCTCTTGCTCTACAACCATGCCATTTACCTTTCTGTCTTTCACAGGACTCTTCCTTGAGCAGTTTTGAGCTTGCTCTGGTGCAGAAGTGCAACCAAGAGATGGGATTGAATCTCTACTAGAGTTTAAGGAAAGAAAATCATTGGTATCAATGAAACTGAACAATGACTGGGTCAGGCATTCTTTGTTTGGCCCCAGCACTCAGATGTTTCAGGCTTGTGTTTGCCCTTCTGTGTCTGCCAGTTCTTTGTCTTGCCCACTGTCTCCACATTCTGATGTTAACAGTATTTGAGATAGTATAGGTAATACCAAATTCATCACTTCCAGCTATTAAAGTCATCTGAGCCTTGATGGGCATAGTGATGCATGCCTTTAATCCCAGCACTTGGGAGGCAGATAAAACCAAAGTGCTCTTGAGACTAGCATGATGATCTATATAGGAAGTTCCAGGTAAGCCAGAGCTACATTTGCCTGTGGGCCCCTTCCCCAGACAAAAGCTTCATGTCTGTCACACAACAGCTATTTGACCGTGTCATTCTACTCTTTAAGTTTGGGGATGGGATATGACTGAGTAGATAGCTTTCAGAGCATGCAGGAAGTCCTGGACAACACAACATCAAGTCAAATGCGGTAGAGCATGCTTGTAATCCCAGCACCTGGAAGGTGGAGGCAGGAGGATTAGATGTTCAAAGTCACATAGCAAGTTAGAAGGCCAGCCTAGACTATAAGACTGTTTTGGAATAGCAGTAGTTTGTCCCTGTCTTCACAGTGTCCTTGGTCAACCTGTGGTGCATGACCTCTTTGGCAAATGTCTTATCTCCAAAAAATACATCATGATCCATCCATAACAGCAAAACTGCAGTTATGGAGTAGCAACAAAAATAATTTATTATTGTGTCGCCACAATATGAGGAACTGTACTAAAGGGTTGCAGCATTAGGAAAGCTGAGAACCATCACTCTAAAGTATACAGCTCTTCATTTTTTCCTATTTTAATCTCATATCTCATTCTCTTACACTTCCAGCCACAGAAAAACACAGTTTCCTCAAATTAGCTAAGTTTGTACAACATCACACTATTCTGTCTGAATCCCTCTCCCTGCCTGGTCTTGCCCTTTGCCTGGCCCATCTTTCCATCATGGTCTCTTCTGTAAAAGCCATCCCTGACTCCAGATCTAGGTGAAGTTCCTCCTCAAGTTTTCTGTTGGGACCCTCTGGCCACTAGACAGAGCTCCAAGAAGTCTCGCCATGGCTGGCTTGCTCACCATGCATCCCTGGAGTTAAATACAATGCTTGGCAAGTAATACATAGCTATAAATATTTGCAATGCCCATGACTTGATCTGGAAATAAGGATGTAACCTAATAGATGGTTTTTACCATGCATATAGTCTTCCCCCATAGGGGCTGAGCAGCTCCAAATCAAAACTTCACATCAGTGCACCGACCCATGTTCCTTACATCACACTTTTGTGCTGATGGTATAGTTTTAAGCTGCATACCACTTTGCACCAAATGCCAGCAGCATCTCAGTCCATAGATTTTCATTTTAGCCTCAGGGGTATCCATGAGTTGATTAAAACATTCTAGGACCAGGCCAAAAACCCCAACGTGGAGACACAAATCACCAACTAGTGGAATAAGTTTGCACTGGCTGCTTATCCTGTATCCAGATAAAAAGTAGCCTCATTCGGGAAAAGTCCAGGGGAATGAAAACATCAGATGGTCCCAGTGAACAGACTCATCAGAACCCATGCCTCAGGATTCACCTGGATGCTTACCACTTGTGAAACAGATGGAGAGTCTTGCCACAGACAAAACAACTGCTGCCTCCTACCGGTTAGAAAAGGGGGGCCTTGCTGGTGTGCATACTGGGGACGAACGGTACAAGGTCCACACCTACGGAAGGAAAGCCAGGGCAGCACCTCACAGTTGCTTTACCCCTTTTTATTAAAAATAGACCCAAACACTTTATGTATCATACAAAAGTTTCATTCGCTGGTGGCAGTCACTGGAAAGACTGGTCCCACAGCGCCGATGATCCACAGCCTCCAAGGGACTGGGTCCCAGGGAGCAGTGGCTGAGCCTTGGGGAATGCCCATAAAGACTGCTCTCTCTGGCAACAGCCAGCTGGGAGTGGGAGCTGTTCTTGCAGCAGCTTTTCCCACCCAACCCAACGGCAAAGATTAGATATTTAAAAGTGCCTCTTTAGTGCCAAGGTAAACAGTGGAGTGAAATGGAAACCCCTGTAACTGATTTCCCAGGATCTAGGGTTTGTGTTGTCTCTCCTATTGACCCCATCCCTAGTCCTTTTTTTTTTTTTTTTTTTTTTTTTTAAACCAAGAATGGGGTTGGGTAAACTGCACTCAGACTCTGGGGCCCTGATATCTGAGACCAAAATTTCACTCCAGCCTAAGTCTTTGCTATTCTGTTGTCCAGCCCCCACCACCAGTGTTTGTCCTGTTCATTCAGAAAGGGCCAATCACAGTTTGGTAACTCACAGTCTTATCTTCCTGAGTTAACACCCTGCCATCACTGTTTTCAGAGCCACAGTCGTCTCCTCAGTTTTGTATTTCCCTGACTGCTACCCGCTCCTGAGCCTTAACCACCCCTGGGGTATCGCAGGCTCCTGTTCCAAAGGGACCTGGTACTGCTGTGGTGGGGGAAGGGAGGCCGTGGTCATTTGGAGCCAGGTTTCCCCAGGGGTGGGCAGTACTCATGCTGGTGTGGACTGCTCACAGGGCCAGGGGACTGGTGTGAGGAAGGTGGGGCATGCGGAGGAGGGTCACAGCCTGCTGAGCCCCTCAGTCCCAGCCGTTGTCTTTCACCATGTGTGACATCTCAATGATGTACTTCCCTTCTTTGTATTTCTGGCTGGTCTCAAAAGCTTGTTCCTGGTGGGGAGTAAAGTAGTGACCATGGGAAAAAGTGTCTCCCCTCCAGGCTCCTCTACCCACACCTAGGCAGACCCAGTTCCATGTGATCCATGCAAAGGCCTGGTGTGTGAACACTGGGTTTGGAGGGCCATGGGGACTGTCTGGGAAGTAGCCCTCTTCAAATACTTACATATTTCCAGCCAAGTGTGGTCTTGCAGCTTTCACAGAAAATGTCAGCTACCGAGTGCAGTCCTGTGAGCAGGAGACGCTGTTCAGCTGGCCCACAACCCACGTTGACCCTGTCTCAGGAAACAAGGAGCCAGCACACAGTAGGGTTGCTCTGTCAGTCCATCCCCCAACCTACCCAAAAGGAGCTCAGCCTTCAGCAGTCCACCCCCACACAACTTAGACTGCCTTTCTGAACCCCTTTGCAAAGGGGAAGGTAAAGCCAGAGGTACCCGATAATTTTCAAGGCTTATCACCCCCATTTTGCAAAGAGGAAAGCTGTTGGCGCACAAGCACATGTACACACACAGACACACACACACAAAGAAAGAGGTAGACTCACACGGAGTTAAACAGGTAGGCCCGGCCATGGCTCCCTTGGAAGGACTGTGGAAACAGGACAGACAGTGACTGCTGGGTATGCCTCAGCCCCACTGCGTAAATCCCAGCTGGAGTGGCGGGAGACCTCAGGTGCTCCCATTTCCTCGGAGTGAAAGCTTGGGGGAGTGGCAGGCCCACGCTTTAGCGTTACCTTGGAAATAAGCTCATCGTGTTTGGCCAAGTGTGCTCGACAGTGGACACAACTGTAAGTGCGGTGGCAGCGGGGCAGGTAGCTGCGGAAAGTCTTGGTGGGTAGACAGGCAGGGGCCGGGCCAGGGTCACAGCTGGGCATGACGGGCTGGAGGACGATGCCCTGTCGGGCTGGAGGGGCTGGTGCCGTGCAGCCCCCACAGAGACGGTCGCAGGTAAAGCAGCGGAGCAGGTTGGCTAGAGCCGTGTTTCAGGACAGTAGAAGGGTGGGGGGGCTGCCCGGCCAGGGCCCCCCCAGACGAGAACCAGATAGAAATGGAAATCACCTGGTGAGAAGCGAAGGTGCATCAGGGGAGATGTGACCTCATGAGTAGCCGCTCCTGCATGGCTAAGGAACATGGGGCTCGGTTCACCTGTACTCTCCCACCTCAGCACTGACAGCCCTCAGCTTCCCATTGCACTTTCTGTCCCCTAGAGTCCCATTCTGTTCTGGCAGCGGTTCCAGGTGTCTTGTACCACGGCCAGGGAGTTGGTACCTCTTTCTCTCCAGAGGCAGTAGCAGCCTCCAGCATTTTCCACTGAGAGCAGCCTACTGGCACATACACTGCCTTAGAAGCAACATCACCTGCAGAGACCCCTTGTGTCCAGTTCTGTGAGAAACTGTCCCCTAACATGAACTCAGAACCTTTGAAAAGTGAAGTTTTCCTGAGTTGTTTTTTTTCCTGTTGTTGGTTTTGGTTTTCTGTCTCAGGGCCTCTGTTAGCAAGACAATTGGCCCACACTTTAGGAAAAAAGGAGGAACAAGCAGATGGGTACATACATGCTGCTTCATCCTCCCTCATGGGACTGAGTTTTGAGCCCTGGAACTCCATAAAACTTGGTAGCTTCTTCAGTGTATCAGACCTTACACGTGGCTGCTTCTCAATCCTGCATCCAGAGCTACATATTCCAGGCTAGAGGGAGCACTTGCTGTCTTGCTAGCCTCTGGTCCTCAGGTCACATCATTATTTATTTACTGTTGTCTTAGCTCTGAGTAAAAGACAGGCACCTAGCCCTAGGAGAAAAATTATCTTTCCTCCAGCAAGTTTGACAGCTGGACCAGTGAAAAATGAGCAGTACATCAGAAAGCCAGATTCCTAGGCTGTGCTGGGCTGTGTGAGAGAGCAACATTAACAGGAAACAGGGTAAGGGGACTGACTCCTTATTTTTAAGAGCTGGACTTTGGGGCACAGGCAGAAAATGTTTCCTCTTCCAGGCGCAATGGTAAACACCAGTGACAAGCAGCAGCAAAATGAAATAATTGCAGGGTTCTGATTAAGAATCTTGAGCCACCGGTATCTGTTCACACTTCAGCCCCAAAGTGACTGAGGGTACTGCAGGCAGAGGATAAGGAGGGAGGTGTCATCTGTCAACTCTGATAAGCAGATGGGGTAGGTACCCTATCCTGCAGCTGTGGGTTGGGTAGCCTGTGTCTCCTTCAGAGATGCCAGCTAACTGCTCTAGAGATGGCTAGACCACCGAGCAGAGGAGGCAGTATGGCTTTAGTTGCCAGGACAAACAGGCTGTTCTCCTGTCCTCTGTGGTGGTCATAAGCATCCCAACTGTTCTATTCTATTCTCTCCAGGGGCTGCCCTGCAGTCTTTCCACAGATCCCCCTAGGTGAGACCATCTTCAGTTTCTGGTTCTCAAGCATTGGTTGAATACTAGGAAGACACCTTGGACCAAACTCAGGGTGACATTGTGTGCTGGCCCTCCTTGCTATAGTTCAGCATCACTTCCTTGATCTGCCTTCAACTTTGCCTTCAAGTTCCTCTCAAGGTTCCACCTTGAGACACCGACACTTCAAGGGACTAGGAGATGCCAGGTTTGCCCCCTCCCTCTATCTTCTGCTCCTTTCCCATCCCTGTCCTTCTGTCATTGTCACGCCTCCCTCTCTGTCCCCCTGCTTCTCTGTCCAGCAGAAGAGAAGCTGCAAACAAGGCAAAAAAAAAAAAATCATAAAAAGGAGAGTTGGGGTTATTTCTTCTCCCATCTCTGCCATCTCTTGTCATGGGGTGAAGCAAATCAGGCAAATGACTGGGGGCAGGAAAAAAAAAATCAACCAAACAACAAAGGTGAGTGCTGGGAAGAGGCAGATTCCCTGATGCTGAGCTGGGGCTGGACTGTAGAAGATGGGGGAGCAGAAGGGCTTTCAACTGGGAAGACTGGCAAAAGCAGCAGAGGTGATGAGGTAGAGGCTGGTAGAAGCAGGTGCCAACCTGGCGCCTCTCAGGGAACTCAAAAGGGGAGGGGGACTTGTGCTCACAATAGATACCTTCAATTGCTTTGAGGCTTTACCTCCCCCTGGGCCAGCATTTTCAGTATGGTATGGTCCGAATAATTAGTAGAGCAGCCAGATCCCAGGGCGGGCTTTGGGGGTCTGCACCAGCAGCAAACAATAAACAGTGATGTCTGATTCTGGAGCCAAAGTTGCCGGGAAATAAGTGGGAGAGAATCGTCAGAGCTCGGGGAAGGATGGAGGAGCCCAGAGAGAGAGAGGGAGAGAGGAGCGGAGGCACCAGGGAGGGGGAAGGGAGGACAAAGGGTGGATGAATAATGCCTTTGCAAAGGGGAGAAAGCAACAATCAGCAGGAAGAGGAAATTTGCAAAGGGGAAAAATTGATTTGGAGAAGGGCTGCCCCCTCACCTTGAGGTCTGCTCCAGAGATCTCCGTCTATCTCTCTCAATCTCTCTGCTCACTCTTCTCTCTTCTCTTTCCGCTCCTTCAATTGGAAAGGGGATGGGATTGGGGGGGGGGTGGGTAGTCAGGGGTTTGAGGACTGGGACTGCAGTCTGGATAGCAGCTGGGGGCCAGAGGTTGCCTCTTGTTCTGTACCTCGGTCTGTGGGTAAATGTGGCTGTGTGTTGTGGAACTGCATCATAACACTGTGAGTCATCCAACCCCCCACCCCCCTCACCTCCCACGTCAGAGCAGGGCTGGGAGACACAGGAGGCGGGTTGGGAGGGAAGGAGAGAGGGAGGGGGCAGGCATCAAGGGACCTGGTTAGAGGAGTGATGTTAGGGAGTGGAGGCAGAGGGATGGCTAGCTTTGGGGTGTCGATGATGCTGGTGGTAGGCAAAAGGAGAGATAGGTTGTTAAGGAGCAAGGCTGTGTGGCCAAGGAAACAGAACCTGAGGGAAGGGTAGGGATGGAGTGAGGGTGGCTGGGTTGGAGAAAGGAGAGAGCAAGGCTGGGGAAGTAAGCGATGGATATAGAGAGAGCTAGGAAGCGCGCGCGCGCGCGCGCACACACACACACACACACACACACACACACACTCAACAGGATTATTTTTTCACTTTAGCTTAACATCAGCTCTGATGAAGGGTAAAGGATAATATACTGATTGTTGTGGATGACAAACTGACCTCTCAAATGTGTACAGTACTGAGTACTTGGAAGTTTTAACATCTCAGTTTAATGCATCACAAAGAAGCCATAGGTCAAATATGACATCTTGCCCCGGAGAACCTCTTATCAACTACTGCGTCCAAAATATTTGTGCTGCAAATGGAGACACCTATATGACATGAGGTTCTTGACTGGGCTGTAGACTTTCTGAGGCAGATCCTCAGGCAAACCTCACTGCACCCCAAGACCACATCATCTAGTATAAAACCTTGTGCGTAGAAGAGACTTACAAAACAGGAGTTTGTTTGCATCTTTAGACACCAGTCAAGTGTCTGACTTTGATCTCAACAACTCCTGAGTTGAAATCTTAGCTCTGCCAATTATTCACCAGGAGCCACAGGCAAGTGACTAATCGTTCTGCGACATACAGATCCTGTTCTGCTCAGTAGAGCTAATAATATTTACCTCATGGAGAAGTGACTATGTGAGATAGCATGTAAATTTCCAAAGGAGTGCCTAACACAATAGGGACTAAGTAAGAAGTAATGTAGTTTTCTTTTGCTCCCTCTTGTTTGTTTTTGTTTTTCAAGACTGGGTTTCTTTGTATTCTTTTGGAGGCTGTCCTGAAAGGAGCTCTGTAGAACAAGTTGGCCTTGAACTAACAGAGATTCACCTGTCTTTGTCTCCCCAGTGCTGACTTCAAAGGTGTGTGCCACCGCCTGCCTTGTCGTGAACTTTTTAAGTTAGCATTTAAATTGAGGAATTTTGTTAGTGTTATTTCAGAACAGCATCCTTTAAATGGGGTTATGAGGCAAGCAGAAGGACTGCAAATTCCAGGCCAGCCTGTGCTTCATGGTAAGATCAGGAATAAATAAAGAGCACCCACAGGCTGGGCAGTGGTGGCAGGGAAGCAAAGGCAGGTGGATCTATGTGAGTTCAAGGCCAGCCTGGTCTATAGAAGGAGTTCCAGGGGGGGAAGAAAGGTCCTTAGGCTGTGAATTTAAAGCTGGAAGCAAAAAGGATATTCATAAATTTAAATCAATAAAGGAATAAAATGGTCAAAGATTTAGCTGGAGAGAAGGAATAGGACACATGACAATGATTTGGGGGGTGGGTTGGAGATGGCAAGAGTGCCCGGTGAGATAGGGAATGAGAAGAGAGTGGGCAAACATGGATGCTTTCTATGCTCTATTCTTTTTCTGTATTTAAGAAGCAAAGTGGAGAGTAATGGAAAGGGGAGGAGAGGGCTCTTCCTAAATTCAGCTAGAGATGGTTACACAATATCCAAATAAAGATGACCTTCAGGTAACTGGGAGACACTGCCTTAAGGGAGTGTGTGATGGCAAAGAAGACTCATGAGAATGAGTTCCAGAGAAAGAGGATGTACTCCTTTGGGAGGTTAGAAGTTTGCTGATGGAAGTCTAGTGCTAAAATTCTGAAGAATGAGCCCAATAGCTCATTGAAAAGCTAATGCTTCATGGTGAATGAACGAAATAAATAAAGCAAATTCCTGAAGGAAACTGAGAGGTAACAAGTCACCTGCCTGAAAACAGTGTTAAATAGGACCAGCAAGAGAAAGGTAGACCAGAATGCTACCCTATTATACTCTCAGTCTAAATTCATCAGATGGACTAGAATGAGGAAAAATATTCACTAGCTTTAAGGCAGCAGGTCTTGAGTTCGAGGTCAGCCTGGTCTACAGAGTGAGATCCGGGACAGTCAGGGCTATACAACACAGGGAAACCCCCTCTCAAAAAAACCAAAACAAAACAAAAACAAAAAACCAAACAGGGAGCTGGAAAGATGACTTGGCTGTTGAGAGCAATGTGGCTGTAACTCCAGTTCCAGGAGATCTGATGTCTTCTGACCTAGGAGGGGATCAGGCATGCATGTGATGCACATAGATACATGCCAGCAAAATGCTCATACACATAAAATATGCAGGATGGTGGTGGCGGCATATGTTTTTAATCCCAGGAGGCAGAGGCAAGTGGATCTGTGAGTTTGAGGCCAGCCTAGTCTTTAGAGCTAGTTCCAGGACAGCCAGAGAGCTGTTACACAGAGAAACCCCCTGGAAACAACAACAACAACAGTAAAATAGTTGGTTAGAGAGATGATGGCTCATGGGATGGGCAGGGAAGAAACCACCGTCTTGAAAATCAAAAACAGTAAAAAAAAAAAAAAAAAAAAAAAAAAAAAAGGAAGAAAAGCAGTAGTTGTAAAATGTGATGGTTATAACTACTTCACAGGGTTGTAGCTGTAGTTAAATGAACTCGTGCCCTCTACACCTGTGTAGCCATGGAACCAGACCTAACAGCTCATTCTATGTAATTGTTTGCCTGTTATTATAAATTGATCCAACTCCCTAAGTTCTTGGTTTGGATCGGTTTTAGTTACCTTTCTTATTGCTATACTCAAATACTTGACAAAAAGCAACTGAAAGGAGTTTTTATTTTGACACATGGTTCAGGAGATGGAGTCCATCAGCACAGGGAAGGCTTGGCAGTGGAAACCATTTGCAGCTGTGCTATTGAAACCTTGCTCACATCTGGGCAGATCAGGAAGCAGAGTGGAACACTTTTTCCTTTTCCTCTTCTGACTCAGTCCAGGACCCCAGCCCCTGGAATGGGACTGCCTACATTCATGATGAATCTTTCCTCTTCCATTACATTTTTCTGGAGTCCTTTCACAGACACACCCAAAAATGTGCCTCATTGGTGTCCCCAGTGTTTACTAATCCAATCAAGTTGGCAAATGAAATTAATCATTAAAAGGCTGACCTCTAAGCCTCATAGTGTCGTACACCTTAAAACAAGCACTCTGGAGGCAGAGGCAGAGGCAGGTGGATCTCTGTTTAAGGCCAGCCTGGTCTATGTAGTGAGTTTCAGGACAGTTAGGACAGTGAGATACTGTCTCTAAAAACCAAAAAGAACAACAAAACAAAAATCCTACCTCAACTAATAACTGAATGTTTAGGCAAATGCCTATCTTAGTTTCCTCCCCAATTGAAACTGGAGATAATATACCGACCTGGAGGAAGTGGAAAAATGTAAAGCACGGTATATGAATAGATGAGATTATTATAGTCTCTCCAGCTTATAATAAAAACTTAAAGGCTAACATAAGATACTTGCTACATTATAGGCAATGTGCTTAGTGCTTTCCATATATCTCATCCAATCTTCAAAAACAACTTTAAGAGGTTGAATACTGTTATTATTCCCATTTTACAGATGAGAGATGTCTCAGGGAAAGGAAGCCTGTGATTTATCCAGTCAAGCAATGAGCCAACCATACAAGATTCCAAAGGCCATGCTCATGAAAAGTGAATTATAGACATGGTGGAACCGGTTAGCAGCCCTGTAAATGATTGACCTTGAATAACTGTATGATTTACATAGAGAAACAGTACAGACTCTGGAAGAGGTTGATGGGTAATGACTGGTTTATAAGTTTAATGGAATAGATAAACAAAAACCCAAACCAACAGCCATCCTGGCTTGAGTCTGTAAATTCCAGCACTTAGGAGTCCTGAGGCAGGAGAAATCACGAGAGTCTGGTGTTGGCTAGACCCCTCCGATCTCCCCCCCCCCCACACACACACGGAAAGAAAGAAAACAATTTACACTTGGTTCCTTCTGTATGTCCGGCACTGAGAGGCAGAGGTTGTCAGCTTCATGTATCCTCAAAGAGGAACCGCTTTCTGCCTATTTCCTCTGCCCGGGTCTCCTGCTTAAGCTAGGTTTTGCTAACTTCCCCACGTTCTGGCTTGTGCTCTAAGCGAGCAGAAGATCCAGACAGCGAGGCCCCTCCTTTTCTGGTCGTCCTTAGCTTTCCTGGACAGCAGATGGAGAGAGAACATGTAACCACTTTCCGCGCGTGGGCGCACCGGCAAATGCCTCCTCTCCGCCTCCTGCGGTCTTCACGCGCAAAGTGACGGCGCTGCCCCGCCCTCCTCGCGCGTCACGGCACAATCCTCGAACTACAACTCCCAGAGGGCTTAGCGTCTGCGCGCTCTCACTCCCAACTACATATTCCAAGAGGAACTACGCGACTGTGTCTCCTCCCATCGCGCAAGAACGGAACCGCACTTGTTTTCCGGCTGCTCTCTAAGTGGTCGTTGTGTGTTTGTGCTCCAGTCCTGTCCAGAGGATCCTGCCACGCTGATTTAGGGCCTGTGGTTGTGTAGGTAAGGACCCCATTCACTTCCGCGAGTCCTGGGCAGATTTCTGTGTCGGCGCTAACTGAAAGAAATACTGGACCTGGAAGTGCGGTTCAGAATCAGAAATAGTAACTTACGTTTCTTTGCAAGATTCTAATTTACGGTGTTTCGTTTTGTTTTTCCCACTGTGGTAGCTGTTAAAGGCACTGTTGGGTGAGGACGTGTAAATTCCCACCATATGACAGCTTAGCAGTAGGTTCAGGCGCCGTTTGAACTAAAGTAGCTATTAGGAGTCTCAGAATCTGATATACAACTGTTTTCTTAGTTCGAACCCTGTGTGCTGTTCTTTGCACACTTTCCAGAGTCTAGTTTCCTGTTGGCTAAGAGAGCTGGAGAGTGGGCATCTGTTATTTCTTTTCCAATAGGATGGTGGAAGGAAGACCACGCAGTCAAGTCTCCTGTTAGTTACATTTGTAGGGAGTTTTTTCCTTTATAACCTAGTCAT